CAATCTCCGCTCAGCCGTTAATCTTATCCTAGCCTTTAATATCCCAACCGTTAATCTCCGCCTGGCCGTTGATATCCGCCTAGCCTTTAATCTTATCCTAGCCTTTAAATTCCCAACCGTTAATCTCCGCCTGGCCGTTTATATCCGCCTAGCCTTTAATCACTTTTAATATCTTAACGTGAATCTCAGCTTTGCCTTTAATCTCTGCTTGGCCGTTAATCCCCCAATTGCTAATCTCCGCTTCATCGTTGATCTCCGCTTTACCGTTAATCTCCGCTTTGCCGTTAATCACTGCCTAGCCGTTAATCTGGCAGTTGTTCATCTTCGCCCAGCCATTAATCTCTGCCTAGCCGTTAATCTACCAGTTGTTTATCTTCGCCCAGCCATTAATCTCTACTTGGCCGTTAATCCCCCAATTGTTAATCTCCGCTTCACCGTTAATCTCCGCTTCACCGTTAATCTCCGGTTAACTGTTATTTCTCCGCCCTATCATTAATCGTTAATCATTGAGTGGAGAGAAGCGGTGCGAGAATGAGGATCAGTATTTAAAAAAGTGCCACAATGGATATTTCCTGAAGTATAAATAAGAATATCACACATTAGATAATGGGATTGAATGACTTAAATGACTGAATGGAAAGATATTAAGACTCACCATAGTGAGTGCTCGATTATATACACTTATCACAGTAGTCACACGGAGTACAATAGATGTCTGATGTGTTGATACACATTTATTTTGCACACACAGGAGAAAATACAATAGATGTCTGATGTGTTGATACACTTTATTTCACACGGAGTACATATAGATGTCTGATGTGTTGATACACTTTATACTATCACACGGAGTACAATAGATGTCTGATGTGTTGATACACTTTATAGTCACACGGAGTACAATAGATGTCTGATGTGTTGATACACGTTATAGTCACAAGGAGTACAATAGATGTCTGATGTGTTGATACACTTTATAGTCTGTATCACACGGAGTACAATAGATGTCTGATGTGTTGATACACTTTATAGTCACACGGAGTACAATAGATGTCTGATGTGTTGATACACTTTATAGTCACACGGAGTACAATAGATGTCTGATGTGTTGATACACTTTATAGTCACACACGTCTGATGTGTTGTACACTTTATAGTCACACGGAGTACAATATGTCTGATGTGATGTCAATAGATGTCTGATGTGTTGATACACGTTATAGTCACACGGAGTACAATAGATGTCTGATGTGTTGATACACTTTATAGTCACACGAGTACAATAGATGTCTGATGTGTTGATACACGTTATAGTCACACGGAGTACAATAGATGTCTGATGTGTTGATACACTTTATAGTCACACGGAGTACAATAGATGTCTGATGTGTTGATACATGTCTGATGTGTTGATACACTTTATAGTCACACGGAGTACAATAGATGTCTGATGTGTTGATACACTTTATAGTCTGTATCACACGGAGTACAATAGATGTCTGATGTGTTGATACACTTTATAGTCTGTATCACACGGAGTACAATAGATGTCTGATGTGTTGATACACTTTATAGTCACACGGAGTACAATAGATGTCTGATGTGTTGATACACTTTACAGTCACACGGAGTACAATAGATGTCTGATGTGTTGATACACTTTATAGTCACACGGAGTACAATAGATGTCTGATGTGTTGATACACTTTATAGTCACACGGAGTACAATAGATGTCTGATGTGTTGATACACTTTATAGTCACACGGAGTACAATAGATGTCTGATGTGTTGATACACTTTCATCGGAGTACAATAGCTGTCTGATGTGTTGATACACTTTATAGTCACACGGAGTACAATAGATGTCTGATGTGTTGATACACTTTATAGTCTGTATCACACGGAGTACAATAGATGTCTGATGTGTTGATACACTTTATAGTCACACGGAGTACAATAGATGTCTGATGTGTTGATACACGTTATAGTCACACGGAGTACAATAGATGTCTGATGTGTTGATACACTTTATAGTCACACGGAGTACAATAGATGTCTGATGTGTTGATACACTTTATAGTCACACGGAGTACAATAGATGTCTGATGTGTTGATACACTTTATAGTCACACGGAGTACAATAGATGTCTGATGTGTTGATACACTTTATAGTCACACGGAGTACAATAGATGTCTGATGTGTTGATACACTTTATAGTCACACGGAGTACAATAGATGTCTGATGTGTTGATACACTTTATAGTCTGTCTCACACGGAGTACAATAGATGTCTGATGTGTTGATACACTTTATAGTCACACGGAGTACAATAGATGTCTGATGTGTTGATACACTTTATAGTCTGTATCACACGGAGTACAATAGATGTCTGATGTGTTGATACACTTTATAGTCACACGGAGTACAATAGATGTCTGATGTGTTGATACAATAGATGTCTGATGTGTTGATACACTTTATAGTCACACGGAGTACAATAGATGTCTGATGTGTTGATACACTTTATAGTCACACGGAGTACAATAGATGTCTGATGTGTTGATACACTTTATAGTCACACGGAGTACAATAGATGTCTGATGTGTTGATACACTTTATAGTCACACGGAGTACAATAGATGTCTGATGTGTTGATACACTTTATAGTCACACGGAGTACAATAGATGTCTGATGTGTTGATACACTTTATAGTCACACGGAGTACAATAGATGTCTGATGTCTGATGTGTGTTGATACACTTTATAGTCACACGGAGTACAATAGATGTCTGATGTGTTGATACACTTTTATAGTCACACGGAGTACAATAGATGTCTGATGTGTTGATACACTTTATAGTCACACGGAGTACAATAGATGTCTGATGTGTTGATACACTTTATAGTCACACGGAGTACAATAGATGTCTGATGTGTTGATACACTTTAGATGTCTGATGTGTTGATACACTTTATAGTCACACGGAGTACAATAGATGTCTGATGTGTTGATACACTTTATAGTCACACGGAGTACAATAGATGTCTGATGTGTTGATACACTTTATAGTCTGTATCACACGGAGTACAATAGATGTCTGATGTGTTGATACACTTTATAGTCACACGGAGTACAATAGATGTCTGATGTGTTGATACACTTTATAGTCTGTATCACACGGAGTACAATAGATGTCTGATGTGTTGATACACTTTATAGTCACACGGAGTACAATAGATGTCTGATGTGTTGATACACTTATATAGTACAATAGATGTCTGATGTGTTGATACACACACGGAGTACAATAGATGTCTGATGTGTGTTGATACACTTTATACTTTATAGTCACACGGAGTACAATAGATGTCTGATGTGTTGATACACTTTATAGTCACACGGAGTACAATAGATGTCTGATGTGTTGATACACTTTATAGTCACACGGAGTACAATAGATGTCTGATGTGTTGATACACGTTATAGGTCTGATGTGTACACACGGAGTACAATAGATGTCTGATGTGTTGATACACTTTATAGTCACACGGAGTACAATAGATGTCTGATGTGTTGATACACGTTATAGTAACACGGAGTACAATAGATGTCTGATGTGTTGATACACTTTATAGTCACACGGAGTACAATAGATGTCTGATGTGTTGATACACTTTATAGTCACACGGAGTACAATAGATACACTTTATAGTCACACGGAGTACAATAGATGTCTGATGTGTTGATACACTTTATAGTCACACGGAGTACAATAGATGTCTGATGTGTTGATACACTTTATAGTCACACGGAGTACAATAGATGTCTGATGTGTTGATACACTTTATAGTCACACGGAGTACAATAGATGTCTGATGTGTTGATACACTTTATAGTCACACGGAGTACAATAGATGTCTGATGTGTTGATACACTTTATAGTCACACGGAGTACAATAGATGTCTGATGTGTTGATACACTTTATAGTCACACGGAGTACAATAGATGTCTGATGTGTTGATACACTTTATAGTCACACGGAGTACAATAGATGTCTGATGTGTTGATACACTTTATTTATTATACAATAGATGTCTGATGTGTTGATACACTTTATAGTCACACGGAGTACAATAGATGTCTGATGTGTTGTACAATATCACACGGAGTACAATAGATGTCTGATGTGTTGATACACTTTATAGTCACACGGAGTACAATAGATGTCTGATGTGTTGATACACTTTATAGTCACACGGAGTACAATAGATGTCTGATGTGTTGATACACTTTATAGTCACACGGAGTACAATAGATGTCTGATGTGTTGATACACTTTATAGTCCCACGGAGTACAATAGATGTCTGATGTGTTGATACACGTTATAGTCCCACGGAGTACAATAGATGTCTGATGTGTTGATACACGTTATAGTCACACGGAGTACAATAGATGTCTGATGTGTTGATACACTTTATAGTCACACGGAGTACAATAGATGTCTGATGTGTTGATACACTTGATAGTCTGTATCACACGGAGTACAATAGATGTCTGATGTGTTGATACACTTTATAGTCTGTATCAAACGGAGTACAATAGATGTCTGATGTGTTGATACACTTTATAGTCTGTATCAAACGGAGTACAATAGATGTCTGATGTGTTGATACACCAATGGCTACAACTCATATTTGATGGTATTAGTCAATGACGATGGAGGGTTGAGCACAAAACATATCCATCAAGTGGTACTTATTTCAATTTTACCAGTATACGTAGGATCATAGTAAAACCGAAAAATTCGATTCCTTACCATCTTGTACACTATTTGTGTCAGTGCTATTACACTCCACACTGGTCATTTGTCTGTTACATGGAACATATAGTTATCAAAATGGCAAACTCTTATCGTATACTGGTTAAAATAACTTATATTCTACTAATATCACCATCATCAATGAACTGTTTCGAAATTTAAGAGTTTTGTCCCTTTAAGGATTAACATGTTTCAAGAGCATTTTTGTTTTCCTCAAGCTGCCATCATTGCTATTGGTATAGAAATTTTCCCATACTGGTCTTTTGTGGTAATTTTGCCGATTTGAGTATTCTGCGCCGTTGAGATTTGTATAGTGGCACGCATTATACCACCATCCACCGAGATGATTTTCAGCACATGACGTTGGGCTTAAATCGTTGTCTCTGTCATACGTTGAGAATGACATTCCGTTATGGTAGAACATGCAATCACCTGAAGAGAAACTACACATTATACGACACTGAGTCAGACAAGTGTTCGGTATCTATCACATTATATACAGTGTCAGACAAGTGTTCGGTATCTATCACATTATATACAGTGTCAGACAAGTGTTCGGTATGTATCACATTATATCCTGTGTCAGACAAGTGTTCGGTATCTATCACATTATATACTGTGTCAGACAAGTGTTCGGTATGTATCACATTATATACTGTGTCAGACAAGTGTTCGGTATGTATCTATCACATTATATACTGTGTCAGACAAGTGTTCGGTATCTATCACATTATATACTGTGTCAGACAAGTGTTCGGTATGTATCTATCACATTATATACAGTGTCAGACAAGTGTTCGGTATCTATCACATTATATACTGTGTCAGACAAGTGTTCGGTATCTATCACATTATATACTGTGTCAGACAAGTGTTCGGTATCTATCACATTATATACTGTGTCAGACAAGTGTTCGGTATGTATCTATCACATTATATACAGTGTCAGACAAGTGTTCGGTATCTATCACATTATATACTGTGTCAGACAAGTGTTCGGTATGTATCTATCACATTATATACAGTGTCAGACAAGTGTTCGGTATCTATCACATTATATACTGTGTCAGACAAGTGTTCGGTATGTATCACATTATATACTGTGTCAGACAAGTGTTCGGTATGTATCTATCACATTATATACAGTGTCAGACAAGTGTTCGGTATCTATCACATTATATACTGTGTCAGACAAGTGTTCGGTATGTATCTATCACATTATATACAGTGTCAGACAAGTGTTCGGTATCTATCACATTATATACTGTGTCAGACAAGTGTTCGGTATCTATCACATTATATACAGTGTCAGACAAGTGTTCGGTATCTATCACATTATATACAGTGTCAGACAAGTGTTCGGTATCTATCACATTATATACTGTGTCAGACAAGTGTTCGGTATGTATCACATTATATACTGTGTCAGACAAGTGTTCGGTATCTATCACATTATATACAGTGTCAGACAAGTGTTCGGTATCTATCACATTATATACTGTGTCATCTATCACATTATATACAAGTGTTCGGTATCTATCACATTATATACTGTGTCAGACATTATATAGTGTCAGACAAGTGGTATGTATCTATCACATTATATACTGTGTCAGACAAGTGTTCGGTATGTATCTATCACATTATATACAGTGTCAGACAAGTGTTCGGGTATCTATCACATTATATTCACATTATATACAGTGTCAGACAAGTGTTCGGTATCTATCACATTATATACTGTGTCAGACAAGTGTTCGGTATCTATCACATTATATACTGTGTCAGACAAGTGTTCGGTATGTATCACATTATATACTGTGTCAGACAAGTGTTCGGTATGTATCACATTATATACTGTGTCAGACAAGTGTTCGGTATCTATCACATTATATGCTGTGTCAGACAAGTGTTCGGTATGTATCTATCACATTATATACTGTGTCAGACAAGTGTTCGGTATGTATCACATTATATACTGTGTCAGACAAGTGTTCGGTATGTATCACATTATATACTGTGTCAGACAAGTGTTCGGTATGTTTCTATCACATATCAGCGATAAATGAAAACCACAATTGGTTCAATGAAATATCAAAATCTAGATGAGAAGGATTTATTAAAAAATGAACATGAAAAATTTCAAACATCTGAAAATTTGAAAAGAAATTGATGGACATGTGTATAATCTTAACTGTGACACTACCGGAACGTGTTATAACGTTGCATTTAGGCTACGACAAACCTTGAGGACTCATAGTCTACAGGCAGTGTTAACCACCTGGAATCTCTAAGTCTGTACAAAAGTCACACAAATTAATAGCAAAATCTTTGCTACAGTATACATATACAATATCCACATCAGATAATAATTTGTATTTATTTAGAAAAAGACAACAGCACACGATTTATGTTTTAAAATGATTCGAACATGTATGAATTTGTTTCTGTGCAACACATACGTGAATGGACATTAATGGTTTAGCTATTTAAACCCCTAGTCATTTATACATACTTGTGTTTCCAGAGAAACCGTATATCGTTAATTTGTAGTTTTCTGTCTCGTTTTCAACTTTAAACGTAGAGTACTGGGCATACTTAGCATCACCTAGCCACGACACCATTTGGATGCGAAGTATGGAGGCCTTGATGGTGAGGTAGTGCAGAGCTTCATTTCCTGTGCAAAAGACAAACACTTTTTTTTAAAAAATGATATTGAGTATATTTACTATAAGTATTGAGTATATTTACAGGAAGTATTGCGTATATTTACAGAAAGTATTGCGTATATTTACAGGAAGTATTGCGTATATTTACATAAAGTATTGCGTATATTTACAGAAAGTATTGCGTATATTTACAGGAAGTATTGCGTAAATTTACAGAAAGTATTGCGTATATTTACAGAAAAGTATTGCGTATATTTACAGAAAGTATTGCGTAAATTTACAGAAAGTATTGCGTATATTTAAGGAAAGTATTGCGTATATTTACGTTGCGTATATTTACGGAAAGTATTGCGTATATTAGCATTATTTAAATTTTTCATCAAAATTTTATTTAGCACCAATGGGCTTCCGTAATACGATACAAAATATTTACCACTCATTCATGGGAAAATGAATACGTGAATATTAATTAACCAACAAACAAGTGGTATATAATATCCTCACATTACAATATCTTTCCGGATATATATAAATATATCAATATATCAAAGGATATTACTAATGTTGTTCGAACAGAACACTATGTAAGTTAGTTAAAATTTGTCCGATGTTTTATGGAACACAAATGACCAAAACAATTGAAAAACTGACAAGCTATAGAAGCAGCCGCGTTTTGCTTGTTTCGTGATTGTTACGCCATGTGATGAAATATTCATTAGTCTTATTACAAAAGACGTTCGTAACCTATATGTATTGAATGTGTACAAACCTAGCCAGAAGTTCCGCCCAACATTACCAAATCCTTGTCTATAGTCTTCCCATGGTCTATAGAAGTTCACGTCACCATTTTCTCGGTTCTGTATCACCTGTGGTTACATAAATAGAAAATTAGGTCACCATTTTCTCGGTTCTGTATTACCTGTGGTTACATAAATAGAAAATTAGGTCACCATTTTCTCGGTTCTGTATCACCTGTGGTTATATAAATAGAAAATTAGGTCACCATTTTATCGGTTCTGTATCACCTGTGGTTACATAAATAGAAAATTAGGTCACCATTTTCTCGGTTCTGTATTACCTGTGGTTATATAAATAGAAAATTAGGTCACCATTTTCTCGGTTCTGTATCACCTGTGGTTACATAAATAGAAAATTAGGTCACAATTTTCTCGGTTCTGTATCACCTGTGATTATATAAATAGAAAATTAGGTCACCATTTTATCGGTTCTGTATCACCTGTGGTTACATAAATAGAAAATTGGGTCACCATTTTCTCGGTTCTGTATTACCTGTGGTTACATAAATAGAAAATTAGGTCACCATTTTCTCGGTTCTGTATCACCTGTGGTTATATAAATAGAAAATTAGGTCACCATTTTATCGGTTCTGTATCACCTGTGGTTATATAAATAGAAAATTAGGTCACCATTTTCTCGGTTCTGTATTACCTGTGGTTATATAAATAGAAAATTAGGTCACCATTTTCTCGGTTCTGTATCACCTGTGGTTATATAAATAGAAAATTAGGTCACCATTTTCTCGGTTCTGTATCACCTGTGGTTACATAAATAGAAAATTAGGTCACCATTTTCTCGGTTCTGTATCACCTGTGGTTATATAAATAGAAAATTAGGTCACCATTTTCTCGGTTCTGTATCACCTGTGGTTACATAAATAGAAAATTAGGTCACCATTTTCTCGGTTCTGTATTACCTGTGGTTATATAAATAGAAAATTAGGTCACCATTTTCTCGGTTCTGTATCACCTGTGGTTACATAAATAGAAAATTAGGTCACCATTTTCTCGGTTCTGTATCACCTGTGGTTACATAAATAGAAAATTAGGTCACCATTTTCTCGGTTCTGTATTACCTGTGGTTATATAAATAGAAAATTAGGTCACCATTTTCTCGGTTCTGTATCACCTGTGGTTACATAAATAGAAAATTAGGTCACCATTTTCTCGGTTCTGTATTACCTGTGGTTATATAAATAGAAAATTAGGTCACCATTTTCTCGGTTCTGTATCACCTGTGGTTACATAAATAGAAAATTAGGTCACAATTTTCTCGGTTCTGTATCACCTGTGATTATATAAATAGAAAATTAGGTCACCATTTTATCGGTTCTGTATCACCTGTGGTTACATAAATAGAAAATTAGGTCACCATTTTCTCGGTTCTGAATTACCTGTGGTTACATAAATAGAAAATATTAGGTCACCATTTTCTCGGTTCTGTATTACCTGTGGTTATATAAATAGAAAATTAGGTCACCATTTTCTCGGTTCCGTATAATCTGTGGTTACATAATTAGATAGTCAGTACTGATGTTTTCAGAAGGCTGTGGTCATTTTGGCGTCCTTGTCAGCACAAAATTGAAGCAAGTCTTTGTAGTGCTGTCACAGTCAAAAGTACAATGGACATTTCATCAAGTCTTATCATAATGACAACGGATTAATCAGTCGTTACCGAAGTGCTGAGATTTAAGCAGGGAAGAGAACTTGACATATTAAAAAGACTGGCATGTCTCGGTCAGGGGGCATAACCAAAAATCTTCCTCATATGGGACAAACATAATCCTGAAAGTAAGACTGTCAACAGAGACAGTATGAAATATTGTTCGGAAATCGTATCCTTGGCATAGATACAACAAGTACTGTCCCTACGCTTTACCTACAGGTTCAGTATGTTTAAAATGTATAGTGGAAAGGTCAAAACAATTATCACCTGTCAGACACGTAGGCTTGGCGTGTTCCATACTTATTTACTAATTTGAGATTGATCGAACCCTAACTAGAATTTATATCAGTAAAATAGGGAGCTAGCTCCTTGACATTAATTGTCATAATGTCTTCTAATACGTCAACTGTAAGTACTATAACTAACACCCCTAGAGGAACATCTGTACAGCACATATGGAAACTTTTTGTTGGATCAAATATAAAAAAGGACTGAATTTGTTTAGACAGATACGTGACTAGTGTATTTCTTTATGACGTTAGTGGATTACATACGTACACGAATATTTATTGGGTATAACAAACAGTCAGAGTATTGACACTGTCTTGTCCGTCGGTTGGTGTATTTAACTCTACAGGTGGTTTGATATCCTAGTCAAACTTGCTCCAGGACCAATATTTCTATAGACCCATAGACAACGCTGCAGGTGAATCCTGGATCAATTTCCTATTATATGACAGGTCACGCGTGGTTACCCAACCTACAAGAAGACCCTGATTAAACGTTTAATGGGCGTTCAATAATTCCTAGTAGGAGAAGATACGAAGATGAGAACTATGCCCTGTTTGTCACCGTGGTTAAGATGGCTGGAGCGTTCTTGTTCTTGTCACACCGTTATACTGTGTATTTTGCTCTTCCCTCTGCCGACCCCCACCGTCCCCAACCTTATTTACAAGACAGGCAGATAATACCGAGAACGAAATATTTTAAGAAAACACACTTACTACTACTGATAAAGACTATACCTAGTAACAGAACAGGGACGCTCATGATAAAATAGAGAACGTTTACAACATCTATAAATCATAGATGTTTATAGTATACGATGTCTTCCGGGGAAAACATGAAACTGGTAAATCTCGTGCACAGCAGTGTTGTGACATTGAGTTACACTGCTCGTCATACCATTAGGTAGTCTTCATAGAGACACATCATTTTCGGATATTTTATTAATCTCTGACAGCATTAAACAATGGCACGACTGAATTTCAGAGAGGTCAGACAATTGCGATTATCATGCAAGGCAAATTCAGGTTGCCAGATATTTCAGTGTTCATATTTACACTATATAACTTCTTGTTAGACGTCTAAGGGAAACTGGGCGGGTTGCTGACAGACTAAGGTCTGGACGTACGCTCGTGTTTATATCTATAATTTATTTCCTCCGAGTCCCACGAGTCTCGTATAATTGTCATAATTATAACCGCGGTTCTCAGAGCTACAGTGCTCTCAATCATCCCAATTACGACATGGTTCGTGTAATTGGGGGTATATGAGAATCGTCTAGTCCTGTCATTCGATTTACAGCCGTTCTCAGATGTGCGGTTTTTATCAAAGCCCGTGTAACGCGACTTTTCGTGATACCTGTCGGTTGATTTGACTCGCGAGTTGTATATCTGCGTGAGTCTCAATTGCTATGCGTAGTGTTGCTGTTTCTGCCACTCATTACGGTTGACCAAAAGACGGCCAGACATCTTCCCTTACCAAGGCGTCCGGTTGTCAATGGTGACGTCATATTTTGCAAAACATGGGTTCCCTTCGTTACGGATTAGTATAAGATCTATCTCTCTGATTCCCTTTTCAGTAACGTATCTTGCAATCCACGGTTCTGTGAACTCGGTGAAGATACTGGTCGGGTAACATCACGATGACCACTTCCGTTTCACTCCAACGAAAACATCGCTTGGCGGACATATATAGATAACAATAACAGTTTGTATTTTCTGTAATAGGAACGGATAATGAAAATCCTACAACCGCTCGGGCCTTCGGTATCTAGCCGGACAATTACAACTATTGGAAGCTAGTAGAATGAGACGTATCCTAAACGACTACAATCAAATGAGGGTCGATAACATATTATGATAAACGACAAAGAAAACACATTCCTTTATACTGAGAGTAGCTTAAACTTTCTGTACTTCTTTATGATTGGCTCACGGAGCACGTATGACGTCTAAATTTAGAACAAATATTACTTCTAATCAGTTATGGACCCTTCACTTTCTATGACTTCCTTGTAGTATATATAAATAGCGATGGAAGTCTGGCAGGATATCAATATTATCGACTCATTACGTATAAAGGGAGATAACCTACCGTCCACGGTCCGTCAGCCGTATGCAGGTCACAGTACACGTCGAAGCTGACTCCAGGCGAAGGTGTGATTCGGTAGACACCAGAGCAGTAGACGGCTGTGTCTATCTCACTGCAGTCGACAGGATCTTAAACCAAGCATTACAAGTTCTAAGTAGACTGTAATAAACAGATACCAGAAACAGTACAATGGATCATCGTCGGCCATACGTTTTGTCTACAGGTAGATATATGCCCAGAAATGACCCCATGAACAATTTCTATAAATAGGCCTTATTTAAGTTTTTTAATCAATGGCTTGGTCCGAATAAGGTTAGGGATAAGCAGTAGTAAACTAATGATGGACAGCCGTGGTCAGTTCATTAAAGTCTGTGGTGAAGCATACGGTAGATAAAACGTACAATAGTTATAAAACCTACTCTATATTTTTCAGGAAAATGTAATTAAATTCCCGATTTAAAAATGTCAGATCATTACAAAATCTAAATGCCATTTTGATACGGTATAATAAGGGGTTTTTTCACAAGACGTCAATTTATCATTTGTTTTTAAGAACAAAATATCTATTTCTTTCATGTCATATTTTCGGAATGGAAACGTTATTCTCTGAATTATTTCGAATGAAAAGTGGGTATCGTGTTAATAACACGTTATTTAACATCAGAAAATACTATGATCTATAGACATCAGAAACAACTTAAACATCATCTCAATCACTGTTATAATGCAGGATGGAAGAATGTTGGTTTTTTGCATTGTCGTACAGCTGTTACTGAAACAACAAAACACAGCCTACATTTATGTATATTTACCATCAGGTTACTGTAACCTTGTCTAAATATCATATATATTTACTATGAGGTTACTATAACCTTGTCTACATATCATGTATTTACCATCAAGTTACTGTGACCTTGTCTGAATATATATATTTACCATCAAGTTACTGTAACCTTGTCTAAATATCATGTATTTACTATCAAGTTACTGTAACCTTGTCTAAATATCATGTATTTACTATCAAGTTACTGTAACCTTGTCTAAATATATATATTTACCATCAGGTTACTGTAACCTTGTCTAAATATCATATATTTACCATCAAGTTATTGTAACCTTCTCTAAATATATATATTTACCATCAAGTTACTGTGACCTTGTCTGAATATATATATTTACCATCAAGTTACTGTAACCTTGTCTAAATATATATATTTACCATCAAGTTACCGTAACCTTGTCTAAATATCATGTATTTACTATCAAGTTACTGTAACCTTGTCTAAATATATATATTTACCATCAAGTTACTGTAACCTTGTCTAAATATATATATTTACCATCAAGTTACTGTAACCTTGTCTACATATCATGTATTTACCATCAAGTTACTGTAACCTTGTCTAAATATCATGTATTTACTATCAAGTTACTGTAACCTTGTCTAAATATATATATTTACCATCAAGTTACTGTAACCTTGTCTACATATCATGTATTTACCATCAAGTTACTGTAACCTTGTCTAAATATATATATTTACCATCAAGTTACTGTAACCTTGTCTAAATATCATATATATTTACCATCAGGTTACTGTAACCTTGTCTAAATATCATATATATTTACCATCAGGTTACTGTAACCTTGTCTGAAATCTCTCGTGTGTATCATGCTGGTATTGTAAATATACAAACATGTTGATGAAGATGGTTTCCAAAACAGATTAATTAGAAATCAACGGTTTATCAGTCAACTTTAAGAAACAAAAGTGATCTGTCTTTTCCCCCCTCGACAAGATTTTGGGGAAAAACAACAGATCTCTCGTTGTCCAGTTATCCTGTCAATCTTTCATATAGCATGATATCAGAAACTAGTTGGCTTCGCTCAGCTGCTTAAAATGATTTAAATAAACATATTACATGGCGGAGTCTCGTTGTGGAGGGATGCATTCTTCGGTATTGATATGAAAGTCGCGAAATTATTACTTTACAAACTACTGGACTGTAGCGTACCACTGTTTAGGATGTGTCACGCGTGACTAACTACCTGTCACACGACGCAGCCAACGATCAATACAGTTTTAAAACTAATAATACCTGTAAGGCTTTCTCTTAGTCGAAATTCGGAATGATGTATTCAACAGTTAGGTTTGTTTTAATTTTGTCAGGAGATCTGCGTCCTGTCACCATCCGAGGTTAATTGAACTCAGATTATGAGGCAGTTGTGAACGCTTTTAAAGTGCGTTCAGATTGAAATGTCACGACAACAGTTACATGATCTTCAAACTTTAGGTTTTGTATCATGAGGTAAATTCCTGAATTTCTGAACTTCAGCTAGCACTAACGGATTGGGAGAAGCTTAAAATGTTGGATTAAAAAAAAATATTATGTTGTGGTCACGGAAGCCGTCTTAATGAGCTATACCCAACTATGGTCATTTTGATGAACGTAGGTCATTTTGTGATTGGGTATTATTCTACTAAAACAGATTTTCAAATATCTATTTCCCTTGAGTGAAAAATGTTGAATATTTCCTATATTTATATGTGTCGATCTATCTCTCATTTCGTGTACTCTCCTCTATGTTACGTTGGTAAATGTGAAGACGGATCGGAAATAGTTAGTTTGATGAATTTGTGTAACTATATCACACAAACTTACATTGATTTGGGTTTGGTTTATATTGTTTAATAGCCTATCAAGTGCTATGATACTCTTAGGACGCCTTCCCCTGTATGCGTGGTCAGTGTTTTGTGAGGCTGAAGTAATCACCACCAGGACACCCAATCCGGTCACATGACAAATGACAATGGGTTAAAGAGTCCATACTTTACAATTATACCTGGCAGACAACAAGGGGTAGCGTCTACCAGTTTTATAGCCTGTGGTAAGTAAAAGAAGAAGAGAAAATAGATCAGGGAGGAGAAAGGTACTTAGATAGATCGAGGAGAAAGGTACCTAGATAGATCAGGGAGAGAGGTACGTAGATAGATCAGGGAGAAAGATACCTGATAGATCAGGGAGAGAGGTACGTAGATAGATCAGGGAGAAAGATACCTAGATAGATCAGGGAGAAAGGTACCTAGATAGATCAGGGAGGAGAAAGGTACCTATATAGAACAGGGAGAAAGGTACATAGATAGATCAGGGAGGAGAAAGGTACCTAGATAGATCAGGGAGAAGAAAGGTATCTAGATAGATCAGGGAGAAGAAAGGTATCTAGATAGATCAGGGAGGAGAAAGGTACCTAGATAGATCAGGGAAAAAGGTACCTAGATTGATCAGGGAGAAGAAAGGTAACTAGATAGATCAGGGAGAAAGGTACCTAGATAGATCAGGGAGAAGAAAGGTACCTAGATAGATCAGGGAGAAAGGTACCTAGATAGATCAGGGAGGAGAAAGGTACCTAGATAGATCAGGGAGAAAGGTACCTAGATAGATCAGGGAGAAAGGTACCTAGATAGATCAGGGAGGAGAAAGGTACCTAGATAGATCAGGGAGAAAGGTATCTAGATAGATCAGGGAGAAAGGTACCTAGATAGATCAGGGAGGAGAAAGGTACCTAGATAGATCAGGGAGAAAGGTACATAGATAGATCAGGGAGAAAGGTACCTAGATAGATCAGGGAGAAAGGTACATAGATAGATCAGGGAGAAAGGTACCTAGACAGATCAGGGAGACAAGTACCTAGATAGATCAGCGAGAAAGGTACCTAGATAGATCAGGGAGAAAGGTACCTAGATAGATCAGAGAGGAGAAAGGTACCTAGACAGATCAGGGAGACAAGTACCTAGATAGATGAGGGAGAAGAAAGCTACCTAGATAGATCAGGGAGGAGAAAGGTACCTAGATAGATCAGGGAGAAAGGTACCTAGATAGATCAGGGAGAAAGGTACCTAGATAGATCAGGGAGAAAGGTACCTAGATAGATCAGGGAGAAAGGTACCTAGATAGATCAGGGAGAAAGGTACCTAGATAGATCAGGGAGAAAGGTACCTAGATAGATCAGGGAGAAAGGTACCTAGATAGATCAGGGAGAAAGGTACCTAGATAGATCAGGGAGAAAGGTATCTAGATAGATAGGTACCATAGATAGATCAGGGAGAAAGGTACTAGATAGATCAGGGAGAAAGGTACCTAGATAGATCAGGGAGAAAGGTACCTAGATAGAGAAAGGTACCTAGATAGATCAGGGAGAAAGGTACCTAGATAGATCAGGGAGGAGAAAGGTACCTAGATAGATCAGGGAGAAAGGAACCTAGATAGATCAGGGAGAAAGGTACCTAGATAGATCAGGGAGAAAGGTACCTAGATAGATCAGGGAGAAAGGTACCTAGATAGATCAGGGAGGAGAAAGATACCGGAGAAAGGTACCTAGATAGATCAGGGAGAAAGGTACCTAGATAGATCAGGGAGAAAGGTACCTAGATAGATCAGGGAAAAAGGTACCTAGATAGATCAGGGAGAAAGGTACCTAGATAGATCAGGGAGAAAGGTACCTAGATAGATCAGGGAGAAAGGTACCTAGATAGATCAGGGAGAAAGGTACATAGATAGATCAGGGAGAAGAAAGGTACCTAGATAGATCAGGGAGAAAGGTACCTAGATAGATCAGGGAGAAAGGTACCTAGATAGATCAGGGAGAAAGGTATCTAGATAGATCAGGGAGAAAGGTATCTAGATAGATCAAGGAGGAGAAAGGTATCTAGATAGATCAGGGAGAAAGGTACCTAGATAGATCAGGGAGAAAGGTACCTAGATAGATCAGGGAGAAAGGTACCTAGATAGATCAGGGAGAAAGGTACCTAGATAGATCAGGGAGAAAGGTACCTAGATAGATCAGGGAGAAAGGTACCTAGATAGATCAGGGAGAAAGGTACATAGATAGATCAGGGAGAAAGGTACCTAGATAGATCAGGGAGAAAGGTACCTAGATAGATCAGGGAGGAGAAAGGTACCTAGATAGATCAGGGAGGAGAAAGGTACCTAGATAGATGAGGGAGAAAGGTACCTAGATAGATCAGGGAGAAAGGTACCTAGATAGATCAGGGAGAAAGGTACCTAGATAGATCAGGGAGAAAGGTACCTAGATAGATCATGGAGAACAAAGGTACCTAGATAGATCAGGGAGAAGAAAGGTACCTATATAGAACAGAGAGAAAGGTACCTAGATAGATCAGGGAGGAGAAAGGTACCTAGATAGATCAAGGAGGAGAAAGGTACCTAGATAGATCAGGGAGAAAGGTACCTAGATAGATCAGGGAGAAAGGTACCTAGATAGATCAGGGAGAAAGGTACCTAGATAGATCAGGGAGGAGAAAGGTACCTAGATAGATCAGGGAGGAGAAAGGTACCTAGATAGATCAGGGAGGAGAAAGGTACCTAGATAGATCAGGGAGGAGAAAGGTATATAGATAGATCAGGGAGGAGAAAGGTACCTAGATAGATCAAGGAGGAGAAAGGTACCTAGATAGATCAGGGAGAAAGGTATCTAGATAGATCAGGGAGAAAGGTACCTAAATAGATCAGGGAAAAAGGTATCTAGATAGATCAGGGTGAAAGGTACCTACATAGATCAGGGAGGAGAAAGGTACCTAGATAGATCAGGGAGAAATGTACCTGGATAGATATAGATGAGGTGTTTGTAGAACAAATTAGGCGGGCTGATTAATTTGACGTAATAATTCGGCGATTTAAAATAGAAACATCTTACAATCTGCCCCATCACCACACAGAGGCAAACCACAGGAAGACTTGTCAGCATAATCATAATTTGAACTTATATCCAATAAAATTTGGACAAGTAATGAACAAAAACTAGATTGATACGGTGCTTCCTAAAAATACTAGAAAATTCTATTTAGGTGTTGCGGAAGAGTAAGCGGCTTCTGCTTCATCGGCGACACCCACCATGTATACCAAGTAAATAGTGTCACGTTCTCAAAGGAGATCAAGGTATACAACAATGGAACCAACAGACAAACTAACGAGCATCACATACGTCCAGCCTCATATCACACAAAGAAATAGAATATTCCTCAACGGGATCACTATGACGACACCAGCTCTGAGGATATCACTACCTTGTGTTCGTTCATCTCTCAAATTTGTTAAGTAAAATGAAAATTGGAAATGAAACTTAAGACTACAGAATATAGTTTATGATAGAATTTAAATAGCTTTGCCATGTAGATGTGAACTTGGATTGTAATAACTGAGTTGACAGATGTTTATACACATTGTGTATGTGGAACTTATCGAGACACAGTTGACACTATTTTTAGGCAGTTTCTTGTCTTTATTGTATCAAACTCTAAATTTGTATTAAAAGATGTTATTTGTATCTTTTGGATGATATTCAATGGTGATAATATTTTCATATATGGCAATAACAAATAACGATCTCGTATACAAAAAGGATCTTTTTTCGATAAGGCCAAACCATGTTAATTATAGTCCTGCTTTTAACGTATATAAGACATGGACTTACTGCTGCTGATCTGTCTGTCCACTTTATTAAACAGCATCAGTGAATGAGGTATCGCTGCTGTGTCATTTCTACACAACATCCTCCGAAAGGTAGCGCATTCCTTGGTGCTGTGGTCAAAGGTAAAGGACAAACAGTTAGATTTACAAACCTTTGCACAATCTACATGGTTCATTATGTTATCGTAAGTGACGATTTTGTCGTAGGAGTACTTTTCCATCCAGACACGAAGTACCCGTTCGAATGAAGACGCTGAGAGTCCGCATGGGTAGAATATCAGGAAAATCCACAATATAGATAAATTCATCATGATATCACAGTGTCTTACCAGAATAAGAAATTCCGTAAAATAGTTTCCCCCAATTGGACCTTTTATGTCTTAATGTCTTGTACTTGAAACAGCTCTGTTTATCTCACAACTAACGTAAAAAATGTAATATCACCAGACAAGTAAAGGTGAAAACTCCGGGCAAAGTTGATGAATACTCTAACAATATAATAAAATAAACACAATACAGTTTACCAGGACGAAAATTCTCCCACACTATGAAATAAAATTAATACATCGGTACGTAAGACATCGTAGACATTCCAGCAGTTGACGGAGACCAGTCTTTTGTTTTACATCTTCGCTAGGATCACTGACGGCCCCATGTCGCGGTAATCTGTAAGTATGGTGCTGTACATGTCAGGACGAAAGTATAAAAAAAAATCAATTTCGACAATGTTTAAATAGCATCACCATACAAAGAAAGTGATTAAATTCATCAATAAGTAATGTGCAATGTCATGGTCTGGCGGTACAGGATGTTACTGTTAAAGGGAAAAAAACATACCCGGAATTATTACATATAAGCCCACTGGGAAATATGAAAGCAACGATTTGACAATATCAACTCTTTTGATAATATATATGCCTGAAAACAATTGTTCCATGCAGTGAGTGCATAGAAAAAACAGACACAATAAGATATGACATGATACAACGTTATATAGTTTACTCCATTGGCGCAGCATAAAATGTAGATACATTTTCTTCTCAAAATGGGATAAAAAGGTCCTTTACATTATGACTCGAACGAATTTTAAAAGTCTTGGCACATTATCATTATAACTACTCATATTTTGTCGATGTATGATAACTTTTCTCTCATAAATCTGATGTTATGAAAGTAAAATCGATCAGTAGCCGAAAACCGATCAAACTCGTAACGTTGTATGCTTAATTAGATCGCCGCTGAATCTCGTCGTTGTATAAAGATTATTTTTACATGTACAAAGGTATGCATGTCTATATGTTGGTAGAAATAGCGAATGTTGATGAAAATGCTGATGATGATATCATTGTGATTATATAATTGTTATTGCATTTATTATGGTAATGATAATCGTGTGTGAGGGTGTGGAAGATGTGTGACGGTAGGATGATAAATGATGAGTGTGTTGATAAATATACCGTGAAGATAATGACTTCTACTGATGATGATGTTGATGGTTGATGATGATGATGAGGATCTTGATGATGATGGTTGATGATAATGATGATGATGGTTGATGATAATGATGATGATGGTTGATGATAATGATGATGATGATGGTTGATGATGATGATGATGATGATGATGATGATGATGATGATGATGATGATGATGATGATGATGGTTGATGATGATGATGATGATGATGATGATGATGATGATGAGGTTGATGATGGTTTATGATGAGGATGCTGTTATTTAATGAGATACAGATGATGACGATGGTTGATGATGATGAGGATGATGATGATGATGTATGGGAAAGTGTGTTGCACATGTAGATGTCAATATCTGTGAAAATTATGAAACTTTTCAAAAATAAAAGAAATAAAAAAAAATGATTATTTTTACATTTTTTTTCTTTATAAAAATAAGGAGTCAAGTCATACCGTATATTCTATACATTGATACGTTGTATATACTTAGATCTATGATTAACTAACTGATGACCCTGGCCAAAGTGTAGTGTTAATTTGGTGGAATATGAGTCATGTGAACAGCATAGGTTTCACAAATACATCAGCATTCTGCACCGTGAACGTTAAAAATGATGACTAATGAGCTATTTGAAGGATTTAAAAAGTATGTCCCTTGTCACGTTAAAATGGGTCCTTCTTTCGCTGAATTTCAAGAATTCAACCAGGAAACTTAACAGATATATAGTTTATGCCGTTTGTTATTAAGAATGTCGTCTACGATTTTGACGGATTTGGCCCCTGTGACCTTGAATATGGATCAAGTGTCGGCATTATAATTCTAGGCCATTTTGTCGAAACGTGATTTAAAAACTTTAACAGATTGGACCCCTGTAATTTCGATCTATAAATTTAGGTATTTTTGTTCATCCTAGAAACGTTTTAGGCAACTAACCTGAATCAATGGACACTGCACCACGCCAAAAGCTCACTTGGCCTTTGGATCATGTGAGGTGAGCTCAAAACGTGAAACACTTTATTTTTGCCTTAAGTTCTTTTAGTATATATTTAAGCATTTGTTCGTTCAGCATCACAAAACAGGAGGACACCTTTTAAATCCAAACAAAATCGTTGGTACAAAGGTGGCTTTGTGCTTAAGGCGTCTGAAAGTCTTTATTACTAGACCTCCAACTCTGCGTCGCGGGCGTGTCTTACATTGGGTGGTCAGTGCCGCAGGTCGGTGGTTGTCTCCAACGCCCGAACCTCTACAACTGACCCTGGCCCTGTTTATATGACGTCAAGCAACTGACTAAACAAAACCTAAAAATCTATGAAGCAATGGCAAAATATCAACCACAATTAAAACAAAAATATCCTACACATGACCCTCTGTTATACACATTGTTTCGGATTCGGATGTACGACTGAATCACGTGCATGAACACATTTGTGTTGTAAATATACAAACCAGTCGAGCAGAAAGTAAGTCGATGATTTCATATGATATCCGTGCACGGGTAATTGAATCCTAATAGATATTGTTTCCGTTAATTGATTTAAAGGATATGCCTTTTCACACCGTGTGATTATCATTCATCACCTACAGCTGCACAGATACAGTTGTCCCGGCACAGAATCCTTACTGATTTTAGACAATGACAGGCTTATTTGCAAACCTGAGTTAGCAGCAACCAGAGGTGTAGGTTATAGACATGCATGCTGTTTTCATAAATTTTGGAGCAATGTTTTCCCAGCCTTCAATTAACTGAAGAGAATATATGTTGGAGTTGTATAGTATATTACACTGATCTGTACTCAGTTGAAGTAATGGATGTGTGGAGTACATTCGAACAGAAGGATTAGAACTGATTAGTATTATACTAATAACACTTACTCTGAGAGACCTTTTACAGAACACCATCTGTTAGTGCTTTATTCTTATCGACAACAGAGGTCTGTCAAAAGATTTTGAATATAAACTTCAAAGGCTATTTGTGACAAGTATATCATCAAACAGCATCTTTTCTTTAATCAAATAATTATGGATATACTTATTTTGTCAACAATTTTGATGTTTTTCACGCGCGGACTTTCAGCAGCTAGGTTTGCACGGGTACTACGTGCTTATCCAATAGATTACACTGACGAAGGCATGTCCATTTTCTTCAATAAAGAAAACCATGCAGAGTGCGGTAAGGTTTGTAAATCAAACTGTTTGTCATACACCTATGACCAAAGTGCCAAGGAATGCAGGACTTTAACCAAGAAGCTATGTAGAGATAATACCGCACCAAATTTACCAATCATGGCTTTTACCAAGGTCGTGAGTATACCAATCAACGGTAAGTTAGTTTTACTTTTTCACGGGTTTGTAATCACTACTTTTGAGGAAAACAACTTTTTGATTATTTTTTTTCTGGTAGTGTTTTGTGCTAAAGCCCAAATCATTCGGAGCAAAATAAAACGAGAAAAAAAGTATAGAACTCACACAAAGAAATGCATCGAACCCAAAGAAAAAATCCTAAAAATCTCATAGCAGACTAACTAGATGTCACCTGAGGTATCATGGGAGCGAAAAGTAAGATGTTGGCAACAAAAGATCTCGCTGAATATTTCTAGATTTGTTTCACGGCGTCATCATGTTTCGGCTTGAATGTAGAGTTGATAGTCAGGTTAGGTTTCATGACGTCATCATGTTTTTGCATTACTGTTGACTGGATTGTCTGGTTAGTTTTCATGACGTCATCAATTATCGGCATGCCTGTATCATGTGTATTTGAATGGTCGCGATATATTTTATGACGTCATATAGCTTTAATGATGTCACAATGTTCAAAGGCTGACAACTCATCAAACTCTTTTATTCGTCTATCGATTACTCGGTTTTATTCATCTGATTTATCTTTCATCTTTTCACTCTACTCGTAACCATCCTCTATTTTATACATATGTTAATCATTCTTATGTCGTTTTTTAAACGCTTAAATCACCATTTTATTCACCTTTTCAGTCAGTAACATAACTAACTCTGTTTCATTAATTTCAGTAGTCAGCTAGATATATGTTTTTCGTCAGTTTTAATCGCTATTTTCATAGATGTTATTTGTAAATTCCACTAGTTTGTTTTCTTAACGTCAAAATATTATGTAGATACACGGACGAACGATTGAGATGACATGCTTACAGTAGCATAAAATCACTTCACAATCTATGATCGTAGTGTACACATAGATTTTACCCGTTTTACGACGAGTAATAACAATTATAGTGATTAATAATGGATAACACTACCTAGAACATCTAATGGCTGTCTATACTTACTATTCAAACGATCGTTTTCTCGGTGGACTAGGTGAGAAGTAATCAACAATCTATAATCTACATTACAATACAAATCAGATTTCACATGACGTTCCTCATAGTGTCTCGGAAAACCAGGTAATTGATGTGAATTACACAGAGAGACACTGAGGTTTATCATCGTATGTCATAGATTGTCAATATATGTCATGGTTTGTAATCGTTTGCCATTATTTTGCATTATATATACTGAAAGAATAAAGAAACGCAGGGTAATATTTATTCCAATATTTTGAAAACGCGTTCTCCAAATAAAGTGAAACTTTGTGGATTGAGTAATTAGGTCTATTACACCTTGTCCTGTATCGAAAATTTAGTCACGGTACAGTGCGCAGCTCTGGTAAATGGAGGAAGGAAAAACAAGAATCTCGTGCACCGTGTTGTTCTGGTCTCATGCAGCGTTGGTCAAGTCTGACGGCCATCAACGTGTCTACCGACGTCGTGGCGAACGTTTAACGGACGCTTGCGTTGTAGAGAGGAATAGGTTTGGGGGCGGTTCAGTAATGGTGTGGGGAGGAATCTCACAAGGGTTAAAATCACAATTGGTTGTTATTGATGTCAGTTTAACAGCAGCTAAGTATAGAGATGAGATCCTCCGACCCCATGTTATTCCTTTCTTACAGCAGCATAATCTAACCCTCCAGCAGGACAATACTAGGCCCCACGTAGCAAGGATTTGCCAAGTCTTTCTGGCCAACAACAACATTCAACCACTAGATTGGCCGCCATATAGCCCTGATTTGTCCCCCGATCGAGCATCTTTGGGACCAGTTGGATAGACAGGTTCGAAAGCGCCAGTCACCCTCTGCTACTCGAAAGCAGTTGACCAGAGCTCTGATTGAAGAGTGGGACAACATCCCCATAAGACGAATTAACGCTCTCATGAACTATATGACCAGAAGAATAAGGGCTGTGACCACAGCAAACGGCGGACACACAAGATATTGATGACTCAGTTCAATTTCAATTTCAAAATCCTAAGGGTCCATTCAATTTAATCGTTAGTGCCTCTAAACCAATTGTCAGATGCAAAATACAGACTATGGAAATTTTTAAGCTTTAATATATCTGTAAGTATACAAAATTACGTTTTAAATGAAGCCCGATATCATACTTAATTTCTGGTTTAAAGTTCACCCTGCGTTTCTTTATCCTTTTAGTATGTAACTCATTTTTGCGTATTATTTAAAAATGATTTCAGCAGTTTTTTTTTTTTAAAAGAATGAAAATAAATGAACAATGGATCAGAGAAGTACAAAAATCAGCCAGAAAATACGTATAATAGCTAATGATAAAAAAGCGATCAGAGAAAGGTAATGTGTTTGATTTACCGAGGAAGTGAAGACTCTTAACCTTCTAAATTAATCATTGTGACGATTACACAATATCCGAGCAAAGCACTTTTCACTAAAGTGGACAACAGATAGAGAAAACCGAGTACATATTACATGTATATAAAAACATCCAGCTGATTTGATTTGATTGATAGGGCAGAGTTCGATGGGGGCAGCATTTGCTGCCATCCTAAAGGGTTTTGCGGTATTGTGTTGTAGCATATCCAACCGATTGCAGTGAGATAGACACAGCCGTCTACTGCTCTGGTGTCTACCGAATCACACCTTCGCCTGGAGTCAGCTTCGACGTGTACTGTGACCTGGATACGGCTGACGGACCATGGACGGTAGGTGTCTTATATACTGTATCTGTAAGTAAAATGTGACTTGAAAGGTGTTGCTATGGTATTCAGGTAATGACATGTTTTATAAGGGATTCCACATACCCAGACAAATATGCTCTGTTGTTGGATACCTTGAGACTAAACACTGAATATTGATGTGTCACCTAAATCAACGTCTTGCACGCGATTCACTGGTAAATCATACACTTTCTGATAGTGTGGTTAAAAATGTCACGTCGAAAGTTGACAAATGTTGCAAGATTCAAAGTAGTATGACGTACAGACACGTAGCTGCATGCTTTAATGTCTGAATTCTGTTATTACTCGGTTAATGTAACGTCTTTAACTAACCGGGTATGTTCACGAGAGTCCCAGGTCTGTTAGACCTCGAACGACTACTGATTAAAAAGATAGACTTCATTGTAGAGAGGAAATATGACAATCATGTACCTGTAGCGTCGCGACTGTACCAATATTAACATAACTAGTGCAGCTCGTTGATTAGTTAATAGTCTTGATCTTGTACCTTTGTTGTGATTTGATGGCGTATCTGGTAACAAGAGAGAGTTAAATTCCAAATTAAGTTTTTCTAGACTTTGGGAATGTACTTTTGTAAAATGTTACAAAACTTCCGCTTCTGTACATTTCTGTTCCTATCTACTGTGTATAGTTTGTCTGATGCTTAAAAGACACTCTTTTATATCAGTTTGAGTTGTCATCTTTGTTAAATACAGCGAACGAAATTAAGCCCAACAAAAGACATGGAAGTGAATTTAACTGTTAATTATACTCTAAACAGTAATTACTAGAATTCATATCCAGGTACTTGTTATTTTTCATCTCCATGTATGATATGACATTGAAGATAAAATCTGGTTGAGAAAAAGTTTAAAAGAAAAATCTAGGATGGTATACATTTGTATTACAAGTACACTACTATATTTTGATAGGTGATACAAAACAGACAGAATGGTAATGTTGAGTTCTTTAGAACCTGGGAGGACTATAAAAACGGATTCGGTGACCTTCATGGGAACTTCTGGCTTGGTACGTATCTTCACTACCAGCGATGATAGCAGGTGATCAAACAATGACAATAAAGAACATTGAGTTGAAATTGCTGCAACAACCATCGCAATGTTAAGACACAACCCTGAAAGTTATGGTGGTGAAATTAGATTTAATAGTCTTTTTATTAAGAATTCATAACGAAGTTTTGTCATCAGTACCCTACCAAAATATGATCATTTCACGTCATTTCCTGTCTTTGCTCAAAGTTTCATAGGATAAGTGTAGCTTTTGACTTTAATGATGAACGTTATCTAATGTGAGGACGAAGATTTCGTGTTGTCTGACGTGGACAAATGTAGACTTTTCGGGTTCTGGACGTTCAGCTTTTAATGTGACTGAAAACTTATTCACTTGTGAATAGCCATCATTTGACGTTTACTGTTGGGTGGACCTAGGTCTTGTGTTCCCCTCAGAGCAAGGAGTTAAACAATTTCATTTATTGTACAACTGTTGCGTGGGTGCATGTCTCGTGTATCTCTCAGGTTCATGTCCCCCATCTTAATCCAAAGGATTAAACGATTTCCTTAATCTTATGATCCCTACTACTGTGTGGATAAACTATCGTGTACCCTCAATTGACGGCCCCCTATCTCACCCTAAAGGGGTTTAACAATTGGCCGGGCAATGAATATCAAATGTCGGGAATTGTGTTCAGTTAGGCAAGGTGAACTTTGGTAAATATTGGATCAAAACCATTAAACCCCAAATTTTCAGAATTACTGCGATATCTCGAATGCTTAAGGGATGTATACGGTGTAAGCGGATTTGTTCCTAATATACTTGAGTTTAAGGAGGTAAGATTCTGTTACAGGGAAAATCTGGTTATAATGGGCATGTTTAATGCCCATATTACTACAAATATTTGTTTCATAGGATTTTGATAATCTGGGCTCACAGCATCAGTGACAGGTCCAGGATAAAACAGATGTAGGATGCAGTTAAAACATGCTTGGCTTAACAGTATCTAAATCTAAAACAAAATGTTTGATTGAATTTTAGTTTTGATTATAATTATATTGGTATTTTTTATATAATATGAAATTCATCCAGTCAAGTGTTCAAACTGTATACATGAGCGAGTATGGGTTCGATGAAGAAAGCGATTCATGTGTGGATCTGGTGTGATAGAGAGGTCCTGCGTGTGGTGTCGCATAGTGTGTTAATAAGCTTGAGGAAAATACATAGTATATTTAGGAGAACATGTTGTGTTCTCTGCATACACAAAAAGAAGTCGATTTTTGTAAACAATCTTATGGAAATGATTTTAAATGATCAACTTTACTAGCTAATGTCCATTTTTATCGACCAGGAAATGAACACATCCACCAACTCACGATATCAACTTCCGTCTTACTTATTGTATTGATGTCATGGTTAGGCGATACTGGACATGCACAGTATTCCACATTCAAGGTTGAAGACGAAACAGAAGATTACAGACTGACTGTATCCGGATTTTCTGGGAATGTCACATGTACGTATAGGAAGTGCATTTTTCTACTTGTATACCCATTCTTTGTAAAATAGCCATATCCCAAGTTCTGCTTATATTGTTATATTAAATACGAAAATATTTAAGCGAAATAACAAAAGCATACTGTGAGTCCAGAGAAATTGATTAGTTGAATTGATTTGATTCTTCATTCAACGACGAACAAAACCATGTTCGAATGTTTACCTGTGTACATGCTCACACCACATGCTTATGTTTATTTTGTCTTGCTGTCCGTAACGATTTTCACCGTAAAAGCCAATCGATGTTCGATCACTCAAAACACTTTTGTCATGATGATAGCAGATCTTAAAAGTACATCAAAATAAATAGATGAAGAAAAAGCGATCCGTCTGCTTTTAATTTCTGTCAAATTAAACACTATTGATCAATGTGTATATGTTATACAATGACAGCCTCATGTGCTGAAAAGTTAAAGCAACTTACTTAATTGTAATATATTTTTGTATTGAAAGGTTTTGACAAAAGCCAAATATTCGGACACCTTTCCTTATCCCCAAATAAATGTGAACAGTTATCATTCGCGTTAAAAAAAACTTATTCACATACAGCGCTTCTAAATAACCAGTATAATGTTACTGTGTAAATAGATGCGTTCACTTCAACTCAAACTAGTGTCGATATCTGAGTGACGCGTCTGATTTCCAACACCTTTGCAATCAATAATTAATTTCACAAATATGCCACGTCTATCCCAACCTGACGAAGGAACGGGTATCGCAATGCTAATTGGAAGTAGCCCTCAACATCAAATCACTACTCACTTTTGCGTTCCAAATCGACTGTAAATCGGTTAAATGTTGTTGACAGACTAAGATCGAGACGCCCACGTGTAACGTCGCGACCTCAAGATCAGTTCATTATAACTTGAATACTTGCGTCACAGGAAACAAACGGCACGAAATATCATCGGTAATGGAAACCGTTGAATCCGTGCCAGGACGGTTTTCTATGAGACATTGGGAGTCCATTCCTCACGGGTGAATCTCGATTCACGTTATTTCCATCAGAACCGTCGGGTAGACGCTTGTATTCTAGAGCACGACAGTAGTCAAAAGACATCTTAATTAGTCATGACAGTAGTTAAAAGACATCTTAATTAGTCATGGCAGTAGTTAAAAGACATCTTAATTAGCCATGACAGTAGTTAAAAGACATATTAATTAGTCATGACAGTAGTTAAAAGACATATCAATTAGTCATGACAGTAGTTAAAAGACATCTTAATTAGACATGGCAGTAGTTAAAAGACATCTTAATTAGCCATGACAGTAGTTAAAAGACATCTTAATTAGTCATGGCAGTAGTTAAAAGACATCTTAATTAGTCATGGCAGTAGTTAAAAGACATATTAATTAGTCATGACAGTAGTTAAAAGACATCTTAATTAGTCATTTATGGAATATAACGGCTGTTCGCTATCGCGATGTGATGATGAGGCTGATGTTGTGCCTTACATTCTAAGGCACCAGTTGACATTTCAGCACGATAGCGCTCAGTCACACGTTGCAAGAGTTTGTAGGGACTTTGTCCTTATTCTGTTGTCTGGCCTCCTTATTGCCCCGTTTTTTCCCCAATTGGAAACTTACGGGAAAAACTAGTAGATTTTGGAATCTAGCAAACATCCTAAATAGAATAACTTGTGAATTCCGTGCCATATAGAATTAAAGACGATATAGCTGTTCAGGGAGAGCTCACAAGGCATCAAGGATAGGTCTTACAAATGTTGTTTTTTTTTCAACTTTTTGTACATAAGGGAACCTTTATTCATGGCGGCTAAATATAGTCATCATTTGTTAAAAATTTCTTTTCTTTTCTTTTTTTATAGGCAAATAGTGCAGTAGCACATGTAGATGTCAATATCTGTAAAAATTATGAAACTTTTCCAGATATTGACATCTACATGTGCAACACTTTTTCCCATACATCATCATTATCATCCTCATCCTCATCATCATCAACCATCGTCATCATCTGTATCTCATTAAATAACAACATCCTCATCATAAACCATCATCAACCTCATCATCATCATTATCATCATCAGCATCATCATCATCATCAAACCACAACATCCTCATTATCAACCAACATCATCATCATTATTATCAACCATCATCATCAAGATCCTCATCATCAGTAGAAGTCATTATCTTCACGGTATATTTATCAACACACTCATCATTTATCATCCTACCGTCACACATCTTCCACACCCTCACACACGATTATCATTACCATAATAAATGCAATAACAATTATATAATCACAATGAAATCATCATCAGCATTTTCATCAACATTCGCTATTTCTACCAACATATAGACATGCATACCTTTGTACATGCATCACTCACATCATCACACACGCATTTCATGCTCTCTGCAAAAACAAAAAGAAATCCAATAAATTAAGTCAGTCAATATTAAGTCAGTAGAGAGAGAGAGAGAGAAAGAGAGAGAGAGGAGAAGAAAAAAAATGGCTGGGCTACAGATGAAACTAAAATATATGTAAGTAGAGAGAAATATTTCCTTTTTCATAGATGTTATAATAAATATATATATATATATATATCTAAGTGAATTCACCAATCATTAAAAAGGGAAAATTGTCTGCGTAGAGATATAATGATATATATATATATATATATATGGAAAAAACTTGATTTGACGAGATGCGAGTAAATTATAAATAAAAATGATTTTTGACAAAAGAAGAAAGACGTTACCATTTGCACTAGCGCTTTCACTGTATTAGATCTTCAGGTGCATAGTAACTGTACATAATGGTGTGGCGTCAAAACATTTTATCTGTTGATGACGTCATAATATAAAAGGGGCATAATTATATTTTGCAAACTTTACAATGCGGTTAAACATTAATATTCAAGTCTGGTTTTAAAATGTTTATAATTTCTAACTCCTTGGCTTCTCTTTGTATTCGATTGGTTTCAGATGAAAAAGTATACAGGGGAAAGATTTGGAAAAAGCCGTCTTTGCATCCTGCTATGTGTCGGCTGATTGGTAGACGTCTATATCTTTTGTGGGATATTTGTTCGCGATGTAATGTTACGCGTTTGCGGAGGTTTTCTGTTTGTCCTATATAGAAACTTCCACATTTTGGACAAAGGATTAAGTAAATCACGTTTTTTGATTTACAGTTCATACTGCTTTTAACTTCCCACTTCTTTCCACTTTTTAATTGTAAGGAATTCCCTGTTATGATATGTTGACACGTTCCACATCTCTTTTCTCGACAAGTATTGACTTCCGGTAACTTTGTTTCTGATGAAAATGATGCACGTGGTAGATATTTTTCAAATTTTTTGGCTGACGGTAGCTTGCGATAAATTTGGTATTTTTCATAATGTTTTTCATTCGCTCAGAGCCATCTAAAATGTTTGACCGTTCCTTTGATTTGAGGGTTAATGGGGTTGTATGTCATGACAAGCGGCAGTACCTTCTCATCGTTTTTTTCTTTCGGTGTTCTGAGTTCCGCTATTGGAATTTCGGAGGCTCTCCTGATGCCGTTATTGATCAGGGACTGTGGATAATTTTGTTCCACCAGAAACTGTCTTAGTTCCTCAAGTCTCTGTCTTCTTAAAGCATCTTTTTCTATAATTGTGCATATTCGTCGGGCTAGACAGAATGGGATATTTTCTCTTGTGTGCCTCGGATGCGAAGAAAGGAAATTCAAATACTGGTGTGTGTCCGTGGATTTGTAATAGATATCTGTGCAAAGTTCCCCGTTGTCTTTGAAGAGCAGTATATCCAAAAATGGTAATCTTATCTTGCTTTTTTCCATTGTGAATTTTATTTTAGCATTGTGAAGAAATTTCGTTAATCGTAATCAGACGTTTTCCAGAGTATGAAACAATCATCGAGGAATCGTTTAAAATTTTCCTTGAGATCTTTTTTCTCTTCCTGGCCGAATTGTTCTCCATACTTATTATAAAGTTGTACTTCTAAGAACCCCATTACTAAGGTTGCGTAAGTTGGAGCCATTTTTGTCCCCATTGCTGTACCCTGTATTTGTTGATATTTTTTATCATTAAATTGATACGTGTTTTCCTGCAGTACTATTTCATCTGCTTCTCTGACGAATTCTTTTGAAATATTGCGAACAATCCGAGTTTCTTGTAGCCAATAAGATATTGCTGCAATGCCAAGTTCGTGAGGTATATTTGTATACAGACTTACGACGTCGAATGAGACGAACGTTGTATCCTCATTGATGTGTTTTGGCAAGTATTTCAGGAAATCTATATCATCTTTTATGTAACTGGGTACTAGCGTGCAAAAAGGTTTTAGCAAGATATCTAAAAAGTTACTTAGACGGTGTGTTGGAGACGCCGGATCAGCGACGATTGGTCTCATTTTTAGGTCCTTTGTTGGAGGCATTACAATGTATTCCGACCTTTCTTGAGCAATAGCCGTTTGGACTTCATTTGATTTATGAATTTTAGGAAGACCATAAAAGTTTGACGTTTTGCACTGAAAGTTAGTGAGATAATCCTGCTCTTTATCTGTTAGTTGCCCTGGATATGTTTTATGAGTTTAAAACAGTTTCATCTTTGTTTGTATCTATTTCCTTGTAATTATCAACATCCTCAAGGAGTTCCAAAATTTTGTTTTTATAAAATTTCCTGTCCATTATTATTATTGCGCCACCTTTGTCCGCTTCTTTTATTACTATAGAAGCGTCATTTGTAAGGTCATTCAATACCTTTGTCTCTTCCTTTGATATATTTCCTCTCTTCCGGTTAGTGGTTTTTGTATGACAGCCGTTGATGGATTTGAAGAAAAGTTCGAGACATTCATCGTTTGATTTCGGCGGGAAAAAGTTTGACTTGTTCCGAACCAACGATTGATCTTCGTTTGGTTTCCCTTTAAAAAACTCCAGCAATCTCAGCCTTCTTTCGAATTCTTGAATATCTTGACTTAGTTCTGGTTTGTTTTCTCTTGGGCTTGGACAGAATTTTTTTTCAGAAATCTTCCCCTTGTATACTTTTTCATCTGAAACCAATCGAATACAAAGAGAAGCCAAGGAGTTAGAAATTATAAACATTTTAAAACCAGACTTGAATATTAATGTTTAACCGCATTGTAAAGTTTGCAAAATATAATTATGCCCCTTTTATATTATGACGTCATCAACAGATAACATGTTGTGACGCCACACCATTATGTACAGTTACTATGCACCTGAAGATCTAATACAGTGAAAGCGCTTGTGCAAAATGTAACGTCTTTCTTCTTTTGTCAAAAATCATTTTTATATATAAATATGTATATATTTAAGAAAGAGAACTAATATTTCATGAGTGTAAGAAAAATTTGATGGCTAATCATATCAATACCAATTAAAGCTTAAATATCACTTAAGTCTAATAATCTTCTCCATTTTCTCCATTTATTTTCTAAATTCTGCTGTGCAAGATCACCTTTGCTGTTAGCAATATATTTTTGAAAAGTGTAATACTCTTTGATTGAGTTTATCAGAATATTTGGATTTAAGATTTTATGTATACATCTTGATTTATATATATATAACTTAATCATGATCAGAATTTCATTATTTACCGAGTTTCCCATAGCATACCACAGTCGAAGTTAGCTATCGCTTTTCACATTTGGCACATTGCCCATAGATTCTATTTTATTGAACCTTGAAAAAGATGTTCCTTTAAGAATATGTGTACGTGAATGTTTTATTTTATACGACAGATGATGGAATGGCCACTCATCACGGTATGAAGTTCTCTACATTCAACAGAGATAACGATCAATTCGCGTCCAACTGTGCTGAGTTATATAAGGGTGGATGGTGGTACAATCACTGTTACGATTCAAATCTTAATGGCGGATCATACATAAACAGTGTTAACGAACGGAGCATTCCGGTCTGGAAATGGTTCTATGAAGATATCCATTACACTCCTATGATGAAGACAAAAATGCTTTTGAAGCGTTCTCTGTCTTAACGGACTGCGATATGCACCTGATCTTACTATTATAATGTCATTTTGAATTTTACTTCCCTGCAGGTAGGCCGTAAGAACTGCACCAATTCCTTACACTGGAGGATCTGGTCTTAATTTAGCATCTTGTAATTCCTCATCTTTTTTAACAGCTAGTATTTTTCAAATGTTCATTTTTAAACTGCCTCAGTTTTTGTCTTTAATTGAGGGTTCGCTGCTATTAGGAAGGTTTTGGGTTTTGTCCACCTGGCAAAGGCGAACCAGAGTCTTTAAAACTAACAGTCAATAGTCCAGTACCTATCGTCCAACATTATGTTAGTGAGACGACTGGCTTATCTGGTGTAAATATATTGTGACCGGGTAGGATGTCCTTATGTGGGCGCTAGACAGTTTACGTCATTACCTTAAGAAGTCGGTTTCGGTTCCGCACCATCATAACAAATGTATTCACCTTACATAAACCTGGAAGGCGTTCTTAACTAATCAAGATAACATTACACTGTTGCTTCAACCTGTCACCCTGTATCAGTTAATCAGTCTTTATCTAATCGTTTGCTTATTTACACGTGTTCAAGTTGGAAGCAATTGGTAGAATAGAGATATTTAGTATCATCAGTTTAGACCAACGAAATTTACGTAAAACTGTCTGAAATGTATTTAATGCATATTCTGATCTCTTTTGTAACTTTTTCAGCCGGAATATTTGTGGTTGTGTTTTCTATTGACACATTTTTTTTCTCTCGAGAAAATTTGCATCTGTTATCAACATATACAAATTCTTTTTTAAGGAAGGAATTGGGATAACACCTTGTTTGATTCATTCCATTTCAACTATTATTGTACTTTATACTGTCCATTTAATAGTTGTGAATTTATGTTTTTTTTTCGTGATAAAACAATGTTATTGCGGTGTTATACCATTTATCTTTTTTTTCAAATTTTTTGCTTTTTTGTTGTTACATTATATCCATATTGACGTACAATTCATTCAATAGTGCTGTAAAGTGTAGATATCTATCTCGTTTCTTTTTATCACAAGAATTCTATCTTATGTTTTTTATTGTTACATATATAATTTTGGTAATGTTATAAAATGTCCACCTATTTTGGATAAAACATGTCTATTATTTCGTTTTTATTGTTGTAAATATTTTTTTAGTATTGCTGTCAAATGTCCATTTGTTATCGTTACAAGATGTCTATATCTCATTAGTATGTAACATTGGGAAGCAGTACACTGTGGCTAAGCGTGATTTTTTTATCATTAGATTATCCCATTATAAAGGTTTTATTTTTTCAAAAAATAGATCCTTGTTAAAATCGGTCTTGTCATGTTGAAGTGGACAATGTGGGGTTTCACATTTTTTCAGAATATTTTTTGCATTGTATTGGAGAATACCATTTGAGCAGTCTCGAATCGGTGTCTATACACCAAAAGCTAGCTCTACATGATGTGAAATTTCCATAGTGATTACACATGGTCATGTTGTGAAGTCGTTCCTAGTTTGAATGAGCTGAAATGTTAGTAGTTTGTTACCATGACAGTGTTGTTGATTTTACGACAGGTGTTTAGAAATACATTTATTCTATACAGATAGTGTATGACCAATAATTTCAGAGAAAATGCACATTAGGTGTTTCCTGCTACCTTGGTAACGCCGATGTATCATTTTTACGTACTCATTAAATATTGGCATTAAATGGATATTAATATAATGAAATACCATTTTCGTTATGAAATTATGTGGTGTGTGATTTGATATAGAATAACATTCTACATGTATATTCATGAATTGGAACATGCTTTTCGGATTGATAGCTGCGTATAAAAGACGCATTTGATGAAGTTATTACCATAGCAACATAGTCATACTTTAATAATATTGCAATATAAAACAAACGGCACAACTCGTATCTACCTGATTTTTGTTAATTATATAATTTTGAATCAGGAGTTTATTTGGTGAATTTCTTCAACTCAACAGGTGCAGGCCGGAAATCTACTCCATCATCAACTGAAGAGGCTCCATAATGCAATCACAACAAATAATTTACGTTATCTAGTTACAATAAGTAAAATTAAATAAAATAAATTACAAATTATAGAAAGTTATATTTGTCATTCCACAAGATATTGACTTTTTGGAAATCTGAATGAGTAATACATTTTATACTGTAACATGTTGTTAATTTACATATTATAAAATCTTTTGAACTATATTGTATCAATAAAATTTCTACTTTCATTTTATTGTAACTCTCACAACCAATGAGGTTAAGTTAAGTTTCATGTGCGATATTTTAGTACAGTGTTACTCGATGACACTATTTTGATCAGAGATCATTATTTTTTATGGTAGAATGGATTTAATCTTTCTACAAAACATTTTTATAGTCGAAGCTGAGAAATGTGATGAGCGCCAGTTTTTTTTTTTTTTTTTTTTTTAGTCGAGTGGGTCGTCATTTTCATATATAACTAAGAGAGGGCACACTGTCTTTGAGAAGTTGTTAATGATCTTTTTATAAGTTTTTTATAACTTTCTTTAAAGCTTTTAAGGAAAATATCTTTCAGGTGAGATTTCTTGGGTTGCATACGTTTTATTGATTTTTTTAATTCTGAAGTTATAAACCCATCCCATGATTGGCTATCTTCCTATTTCTCAGTATAGTTCACATATCAGTAAATCTTATTTCATGTGGGGTAAATAATTTTCCATAGTACTGTATTAATCTTTTAAGAATGTCATCTTGTTTTGTAAACATTGCTTCATCTTCACTGTTAATTTTTGTTATAGGGAAAGATATTTTGTTAGTTTTTTTTTCACCTTTTCCCAACCAGTTAACTCTTGAAAGGATTTCTGCTCCATATGTCATTTTGTGATATAGATTGTCTACCTTAGCTTCTTGTTCATGTATTCTGTCACTGTTTTCATTGTATGATTGTTCATAATGATTTTTTATTGTATCCTCAATCTTTTTACTTTGTTTTTGGTAGCTTTGGCCAACTGTATACTGAACGCTAATGATTTTTCTTTTATTTGTATTTTGCATATTTCCCAAGCTGTCTTGATATCAGTTGTTTTGTTTTTATCATAGTGTTGCATTAATTTATAATGTTCATAATGTTATGTTTGTATTTTCATTCTTAAAGAGACTTTTGTGAAATTTCCAATAACCTGGACCTCTGGTAGGACCTGAGTTATCAAATATAAGCTTAACAGCTAGGTGGTCCATTGAATTTATTATGGCGGGACGGACATCGGATTTTTAGCCTACCATCATCATATTCAAATCGTGGTCCTTAAACGTATTGGATGGTTCTTTCTCAAATTTTCAGAAGTTGTGTCCGTTTGATTTTAAAAAAAATGGCCTACGTGTAGCCATCCTTAGCTGTGACCATTTGATTTTGGGTCTGATTAGAAATACAAATTGGCCAACAGGCGGCCATTTTCTATTTCGCCAAGAAAATTTCATACTTGTGTTTCATTTGGTCTCTGCTTCTGCCAATTTGATTTTGGGGACTGATCAGAAAAGCATGACTTCCAGACGACCATCTTAGATTTGGCAGGTAGGGATTATCATCGCTATTTCTGCATAGGAATGTTCAAATTTCTTATCATTAAGAGCAAAAACGGAGAATAGATAAGAAAAGAGGGAAAAAGATCCAACTTTTACAAAGCAAATTAAGACCAAACAACGGTGGGCGCCTCTAGGGTCTCTTGTGCCAATTTCGGGGTTATTTATATTGATAGTAGGTAATAATCGATTCTACTCTCCTCTTTCGTGATAATGTTTCTTCTTCGTGTGAGCCGTTCTTTTAAGTTCCCACTATCTGATAAGTTTAGTTTTTTCTTAAATATTTTAAGGCCATGAACACATATGTTTTATTCGCTGCACTTCTGTCAACAGTATCTTGAATGCCATCCCAGGCCCCTCCAATTGTTATAACTCTCTGCTTAAATTATTATTAGTTCTTATTTTCTTAAAACACTATTCCTTTGGTGTTTTGGAGCTTATATATTAATGACTGTAGATATGTTCTTGTTTATTTGTATATTAATTACTATGCATCAATCATTTTCATCAGACTATGTATGTATCGTCTCATGTTTCTTCTGTAATAGTATGGATATTCATCAGCTCTGACTAGGACCAACGTTATGTATCGATTCACCTTGTCATTCTGTGTTGATGAAGTTTATATCTTTCTTTGTGAAATTTGTTTCTTTTTTACATCTTGTGATGTTAGCCTTCTGTTCGGTTACCGACTGATAAAATCTTTTTCTTTCTTGTTTGTCTCGCAGACTGTGTATTAAGTGTAATGCAATGTATGTGGTCATTCATGTCTCGATAGGATAGTACATTGATAACTATTTAGTTTTGTCTTGATTGAAACAAACGAAATCTTTCTTTCGGGTGTATGAAACTTTGGGAATTTTACACAGAAATATTGTTATATATATATATAATATATAGAGAGCATTACATGTTTGTGATTTATGCATTGTAAAATCTAGATACATGTTCATCTGGGTTATTCTATGTTCGATATAACCTTGGATCATTGTAAAATCTAGATACATGTTCATCTGGGTTATTCTATGTTCGATATAACCTTGGATCATTGTAAAATCTAGATACATGTTCATCTGGGTTATTCTATGTTCGATATAACCTTGGATCATTGTAAAATCTAGATACATGTTCATCTGGGTTATTCTATGTTCGATATAACCTTGGATCATTGTAAAATCTAGATACATGTTCATCTGGGTTAGTCTATGTTCGATATAACCTTGGATCATTGTAAAATCTAGATACATGTTCATCTGGGTTATTCTATGTTCGATATAACCTTGGATCATTGTAAAATCTAGATACATGTTCATCTGGGTTATTCTATGTTCGATATAACCTTGGATCATTGTAAAATCTAGATACATGTTCATCTGGGTTATTCTATGTTCGATATAACCTTGGATCATTGTAAAATCTAGATACAT